AACTAAAGTACATTAAAACCAGCCAACTGTTATGAATTAACACTGTTCACCTTCTGTCTGTCCCCAGGAGTCTGTAATTGTAGGCTAAATCATTCTCCCCACACGAGCAGCACTGTGTGTGAAGCTTGCAGCAGCTGGAGTTGAGCCAACGCCACACTCCTGTTACAATATTGTCACTGTGTATGCCAATACAGGTGGATTTTGGCTTCGTCAACTCTCTGTTTCATTTAATTTACAAGATATATTTGAAATTACAGTCTCTGACATTGCATTCGCCTTGTAAGTTGGACAAAGTCATACGTTTTTTTGTTTTGGCACAAAAATCCCCCTGCAGCATCACTTAGTAATGTAAAGACAAAACAAATGATTAAGCTTCTTAACTGAGTCAGGAGTGTTTTTTGTGCCCTTCTGAAGTCACTGCTCCAATATGTAATGATAGGAGTTTATTTAGGGACTGCTTTACGACACCTTTGTTATTTCTTCTTCGTTAGGGGCAGCTGTGTTTCAGGTGGTAGAGCAGATCATCTACTGATCAGAGGGTATTTGGCCAAGACAGTGAACACTGCATTCACATGTGTGTGATTGGGAGACTTAGATTAGTAGTGGGAAGCACTTTGAGTGCTTAACAGAGGAGAAAGGTGCTACGTAATTTCAAGGGAGTCTTTAACTAAGACTGCGTAAGGTCGGTGTCAATCATTACTAAGGAGTGAAACTGGTGGAAATGTTCCTAAACTAAAGGTATTCATTCAACAACACTAACAATATCATGACAAACTGGAGTGGACGGGACCGGAAAGTACAAATGCAGCAATGACCGGAGAATGTTTCAAATGTCACTGAATAACCGAATGACATCCTTTGCTCCTTCTTAAACTCTTCAACCACACACTCATACATGACCTTACTCATAGAGGAGTAGTGAACTTATAAAAAGGCTGAGTCCAGTCCTGATACAGACTGTGTCAGGACTGAGGACACAAAGTCGCAGACAGAGTGTTGAATATTGTGAGGGTAGGAAGCCATTGGCAGAGGCGTTATTTATTTATTTATTTATTTATTTATTTATTTTGACCTCCTGAGGTAATACAGGCACGAGAAGGCTTCTTTTCTTCAGTCAGTTTATTTTTTTTCAAATGCTACGCTGTGGATATGCACTCTTCTGGCTGTTGGGGTCAGTGTTGTTGATCTGCGTTGTGTCACCAGTGAAGGGTGAAGCTGTGATAACACGTGAGGGGTCCCACCTGAAGCTGTCTGAATCCAGTCACTCGAATGAGTCTCAACATGGCCACAGCTCCAATGTCACAGGAATACCCATCATTAGCTTTAAGTGGCACCACGTGGAGACCCCTTATTTAGTGGCTTTTTGGGTACTGGTGTCATTTTTGGGCAAACTGGGTATGTAATACATATTGTCGAATATAAATATGATAAAAAAATTCTATGCTCTGTTTATTACACGAGATGATAAAAGAAAAGAAGAAGTACAGTTTGCCTCTTGCAAACAGAGAAGGTAATGTGGAGCAAACTTTCACTTTTGGTAGCTGAAATCCTCTAAATGAATAGCTCAGGCTTATAAAATATAAATATACAGATAAAAACACAGAGGTGAAAAATTGTATACTTGATACAAGTTTCTGTAATTTAATCTTTAATTACATTTAACCTCTTAAAGCCTAAAATATGAAATGAATTCAAAATTGAGAATTTGTTGAGCCAATATAACAAATATATAACATTTTAATTTCCATATATGACTTTTGATTTGTATCATATTTGCTACATCTGGCATTTAAAAAATGCTGAAGAATGTATCTTGAATAAAATTTCTTTAGGTTTTTCACTGATAAAGGAGAAGTCTCAAAAACTCGTAAAGAAACGGCACATATCAAACATGATACACCAGGATTTAAGAGGGTAAATATTAACATGCAGAACAGAAGTGTAACCCCGTGAGGTGGAAATTGGTTTACCGCTGTGGGACAGTAGGGTTTATTGTTAAATAAACTTTAATGGCACTTCCTCTGCCCATTAATCATGAGGCTATCTTTAGTTATGCAGTGGGGTTTCATTCATCCGCCACGCTGGTTAATCATGTGCTTTCGTGTTTTATTTTAGATGAGCACTACAGTTAATCATTTGCAAATGTTACAACCTCACAAGCGTTTTACATTTGTGGTTCAGTAAAATGAACCAAAGGTTTGAATGTTTGCCAGCTCCAACCCGACTACAAGCAGATTAATGTAAAATCAAAGGTTATTACTATTGATTCATGGCTTTTATCTTTTTTTTTTTTTTTTTTATCTTGTTTTCTCTTCTCAGTCATTGAGGCCAACCATCAGGTCACCAGCATTATACCTGAGAGCGCTCTGCTCATCTGTTTTGGCTTCATTTTGGGTGGCATGATTTGGGCTGCAGACAAGGTGCAAACCTTCAGGCTGACCCCGACAGTCTTCTTCTTCTACCTGCTGCCTCAAGTCATTCTGGATGCAGGCTACCACATGCCAAACAAGCTCTTCTTCACCAACCTGGGCGGAATCTTGGTCCATGCTGTCATTGGGACCTGCTGGAATGCTGCCAGCTTGGGGCTGTCGCTGTGGGGGTGCCAAATGGGAGGAGCCATGGGTAAGAGGGGCTTTGTAATTTCTTCGTGAATGCACCAGAGAGAGATCTAATATGATTCCTGTACATCACAAAAGGTTGATTCTGTTCATCTGGAAATTCAGTGGGAGAAACATTTTGACACTCATCCAAGTGACTTCTTCAGTCTCAGCTGACTACAGGTTTTCCTAACCCAAACAGTACATTTGCACAATAACTGAAACAATGTTATTTGATTCAGAGATGGTCTTTCCCTTTTCACATAAATGGCCTCCTTGACTCCGCGCTCAAACCAGCGCTCCTCCCTGTCCAGAATGTGTAAATCCTCATCATTGAAAGAGTGTCCATTTGCCTGTAGGTGGAAATAGACTTCCTTCTGTGTTGTGCCATCCGCTTCACAAGAGGTTGTTTGGTTTCCTCAGTGTCTAAATCATGGCAATCCTCCTGGCACTTAGCGCACTCTACATTACTCTGTTTGTGTCGGGGGATCCAATCATTGGGGTGGACTGTTTTTTGGCGCAGTGTGTTTTGGGGTTTAAAGCCACTGAGGTGTTGTGTTTAGAAAAAATGTGTCTGTGAATCAAGGAGGGGGCTGTGCCTTACAATGGTGTGATTGCCGCCATTCCCCAACTTTCTGTGAATGGTACTCATAGGCATTGATCAATGGTCTTTGATCAATGGTCATGACAATTCGCATATTAATGATCAAGGACTTGACCTCCCAGCCCATTGTTCATTCAGTTGGCTAGTTTCCGTTATTATTCAAATGTACTGTTTATAAGATTGGGGATGTACAGATGTACAGAATCAACCTTTTGGGATTTACTTACCTGGGTGATTGAGCATCAATGCATTTCCTGTACAGGTGACCTGGACATCGGTCTGCTGCAGTACCTTCTTTTCGGCAGTCTGATGGCTGCTGTGGACCCCGTGGCCGTCATCGCTGTGTTTGAGCAGGTGCACGTTAACGACGTCCTCTTCATCATGGTGTTTGGAGAGTCGCTGCTCAACGACGGTGTAACAGTGGTTTGTATGCATCATTGCTGTCTTTAGCATTACTTAAGTAACATAACCTGTGAGTTTGGTGAGACATCTGTCATAGGCATGTCCACTTTGAAGACATCAAGTGTAAAGAAAGTAAACATTCCAGCACTTCAGTTTAAGTGGTTTTACTCTAGCTGATGTTTTGCCATCTTATCTGAGCTTCTCTGGTCAATAAAAGTGTTTCTGAACAGTCTGGAGTTCATTTGATACGAATCATGAAGTTCCACCCCGTTCACTGCTGAAACTTGAAACTTTGCACACCTTTTAAAATTACAATGTTAGAAACCTGTGACTTTATCGTTAGAAGTGTGACCTTCTCAGAAGCATAAGTGCTATATCATATTGCTCCTTAAAGGAGAGGTGTACTATAAAACGGAATACATGTCTTAGAGAACTGAATTAAGCTTAAAATTGAAAGTAAAATAAAAATTAACTAATTAATTAAATGTGGACAGAATTTGTCAATCAGAGATAATTCATCTCATAAATCAAGACACAATGCTCTCCCTTATATAAGCTGCCTTTATAGGTTAAAAGTATCATTATCAGTATTGGTATCGGCAATACTGGCAATGTATTTACTTTATTTCTGGCCCTGTATTGTATTGATATAATCTGTAATTGGAGTTCAACACCTGTAGCGTAAGTGAATCACTCAGGACTCACTCACCCCCTCCCTCCTGTGCTGAATCATAGAGCGAACGAATCACTCAGGACTCACTCACCCCCTCCCTCCTGTGCTGAATCATAGAGCGAACGAATCACTCAGGACTCACTCACCCCCTCCCTCCTGTGCTGAATCGTAGGCGTAAGCCACAGGTGTCGAACTCCAGGCCTCGAGGGCCGGTGTCCTGCAGGTTTTAGATGTGTCCTTGATCCAACACAGCTGATTTAAACGGCTAAATGACCTCCTCAACATGTCTTGAAGTTCTCCAGAAGCCTGGTAATGAACTAATCATTTCATTCAGGTGTGTTGACCCACGGTGATATCTAAAACCTGCAGGACACCAGCCCTCGAGGCCTGGAGTTCAACACCCCTGGCGTAAGCGAATCACTCAGTACTCACTCACCCCCTCCCTCCTGGCTCACAGCTTCTTCTTCTTCTTGGTTGGCAACCAATGTTAAGGCACATTACCGCCCCCTGGCTCACATTTCAGTGGACATTTAGATGAGAAAATATATATTTAACACATTTAAGGAAAATACTAATAAAATTTAAAAAAAAGTTTATTTAGCAATTTTTTTACTTTGGTGAGTGACTCATTAAAACTCGATTCAGTAAAAAGAATCAAATTTACCATCATTAATGTAAGTCCCCTTCAATTAAATGGAATTTATTTTCATTTCATTTATATGAAATAGCCATGTGATTATCAGCAGTTACCACGCCTACCTAGCCACATCAGAGTCATTTTCCATCAACAACCTCCATTATAGACCCACCTACAGACACGTGACTGGACAGACACCACATGCAGTAAATCTGGGCCCACGTGGGTTTTAGCCTTGCAAGGTCTGATTGGTTGAAGTAACGTGAACGTGGCATTGTTACTGTGATTCTATTGGCTCAAACAATTAAAAAAAGATGTCAATCATGCAAATTGAACAAAAGAGACCAAAGTTACAGCTCCTCAGAGTTTAAAGGGCCAGAGACCAATTAAATGCTCCATGCACACGGCAGAAAGGGGCCATTACCATGTAAATGTATCTTCAAAAAAAATATATATATAAAAAAGCATTTTTAGGCCTGTTAATAAAATCAATTATTTCTGCTCTTAAATACCTAAAAAATTCAACTGGCATGGTGTCCAATTGTGTGCCAAAATTAGACATTTTTGTACAACATGTTCATGTATTTTGTACAACATGTTCATGTATTTTGTACAACATGTTCATGTATTCATGTATTAACAGTGCTGTAATTTTTCACTGTTTCACTTTACAAACATAAATCTTTGCACAGATGATGTTTATATGTTGGTTACTGATTTTCTGTAATGAAATGTGAACTGAGGCATGTTTTAAAAGGGTTATATGCTAAAAAAAAAAAAAAAATTAGGCGAGAATAAATTCTATTTACTTTTTCTGTGTTCCAGTCTCAGTAACTTTGACACAGTAATATCTGCTTCAATATTTACACCTCTGATGAAATTTCACAAGTGTTTGCTTTATTTTGATACCAAGATTGTAAGGACAGAGTTTGTAATTGCAGAGAAATAATCAATTAATTTGGGCATTGCATTTTTGAGCAGGAAGCTCAGAAACCCCTTTGGGGCTTAAGAGGTTATATTTACCCACAAATACTTGAGTTATACTTAAGGTAAGCACACTACTTTTTACAGGAAACAAGAAAATAATTATACTATTAGTAAATTTAAGTACTATGTAAGTAATTTTAAATAGTAGTTGGAAATTTTTAGTTTTGCATAACTTCATGTGCTTTAAAGGAAAGAAGAAATAATTACACTGCAAGTGTTTTAAGTAGTGTATAAATTATTTTAATAGATCCTTATTAAGTGGTAATTCGCAGAAAAACAATCAAATATTTCCCAACATAACATCAGGTCTTATTATGGAGGGACTTACCTTGCTTAACTTCCAGGTATTTCACAGGAAAGGAGACATTCTGTTCCAAAACACTTGTTGTGACTGTGACAGAAAAAAATTAAGTTAGATGTGGCTCCATTATTATAAGGTCACAAAGGCCTACACATTTGGTGGTATTTATTTATTTTTTGTAACTTGGTACGCTGGAACAGTACTTATCACATCCACAGGGCTTCCATTAATGCACATTAACACAACGACGATTAAATAAAGTCGTAAAAAGGCAGTATCAATCTACTCTGTAAAACTGCCCATACCCCCAAAAGGACAGTGTAGCTACAATGTAATACTGTTTGTTTTTGCACAACAAAAACCTGTTACCCCCTTACTCTAGTGTGTAGTACTTGTAGGTAAATATAATTACTTTGCCATTTCAAATAAAATACGTTGAAATTCCATTTAATTACAGGGGAATTGCACCCTTTGTCATGGGTCCTTCGTTACTGCTAAATGACCAGACATTAATTTTTCTTCTTCATTTCTTAGGTGCTCTTCAATGTGTTTGATGCATTTGTGTCACTGGGAGGACCTAAAATTGATGCTGCAGAAATTATCAAAGGAATAGGTAAGATATGACATTTATTAAACTGT